CCTGCTGAAGTGAATCGGGGGACGGAGGGTGGGCATCCAGGAGCCGGAGTCTGTCCCGGCCCCATTTCAAACACACGTGAGGCCGTCGGATGGAGCCCCCAGTTGAGGAAGACTGCGGAAGAGCACAGTCTTCCTGGACGGCCTCCTTCGCCCCTTGCTCTTGTGTGTTCCCTCCGTGCCAGTGCCGGTCCGCAGCGGGGCCCTGCGGCTCCGACTTCCGCTCTTTGAGTTAAATGACAGCTTCTCGCACCTCTCCAGACCCGCCTGTAAGGCCTCTTGAAGCGACAAGGTAGTTATTGTCATCCTTATCGGCCTCCTGGAAGGGCTGGGCGGGTGGCCCTGGAAGCAGAGCAGGGGGAGGTGACCTCCGGGTGGCTTCCAGCAGCCCCTGCGCGGCCCAGCGGCCTTTCCCCCTGACGCCCGCCCGCCCTCAGCGTGGCCTGGTGACAGGCAGGGAAGGCGGGGTCCAGCCCCTGAGGTCACCCCAGCCTGTCCTCGCTCCCAGAGCCGCCTGCCCTGCAGGAATGGTGTCCTCGTCCTGACACCTGGCCCAGGAGGGGGGTCCCCTCCACGCCTAGGTCCTTCCTGCCCCGTGCGCTGTTCACTGAGCCCGCAAGGGCCTGGGGCCTGAGCCCCAGGAACTGGGGCAGTTCTTCCCTCTACGCCGGCCAGAGGCCCCCTTGCAAAATGGCGAGGCTGCTGGGTGCTCACCTCGTTTGGGGACAGGGACCTTTTTGAACAAAAATCTGAAGAAAGACACACCTGTGTGTCTTCCGTGGCTCCTGAGTTCAGAGCCCGGGGTGAGTGCATCTCCTCCCTCGTGTACGTCTGAATTGTGTGCCCTGACAGGTGCTTGTGGGGACAGAACACCTCCCTGCCCACAGCTGTCTTGTCAGGCCACAGGCGTCGGCCCTCTGCCGAAGGTTCTAACGGGGCCCACGGTCCACAGCTGTAGGAGACAGCTTGTTCTGGGGTAGAGGAACCATTGGCCCTAACCCCAGGAGCACCCCCGCTCTCAGCTCTCCACAGTGTCCATCTCCGGAGAGAGAAGGCTGGGGAGCCCCTTCTGCTCCAATGTTGTCCTTATTTGTTCCTTTCCTCGAGGTGTGGTCAGGTTCCGCAGGCAGCTCTGCTTCTCGGTGAGCGCGCGGGTCTCTGGGCTGCCTCGGAGTGTCAGGGCCTGGGCTCCCTGAGGACCAGGTGCCCTCCTTCCCACACGTCCTTCCTCTGACGAAGCCCATGCTTTCTGGGGCCAAGTCCAGTTCCGTAGGATCTGTGTGCTGTCATTCTTTGTTTATTTTGTTTGCTTTTCATTCTGTGACAATTACATATCTGTACATTTCAATCTTTTATAATCCTCTGTATCTAGAAGGCAAGTAGCGCGTGAGAATGCAACTGTATCCTCTTTGATCTCTGAGGACCACGTTTAGTCTAATAGCTTCTTATTTCCCCTTTGTAGGTGTTAAACCTTTCGGAAAAGAGATATGACCTTACAAAGCTTAACCCAAAGGTATGGATCTTAGCCCTTTATATTCTGAGTTTTGTTAAAGGCCCACGATGCTTATCCTGCTTGTGCAAAAAGGGTTTGTAGCAAGTCTTTGTGGAATATGACTTAGTGAGGGGTATTAGGAACTGTTCATATCCACGGCTTATTTTTTTTTTTATTAACACTTTTTAGTTTGAAATAGTTATAACTTCACAGGAAAATGCAAAAAGAATACAGGGAGATCCCACATACCCCTGGCCCAGTCTTCTCCAGTGGTACTGTCTTGCATAACTTATAGTAAAATATTAATGCCAGGAAGTTGACATTGGCACCATCCACAGATTGCATGCAACTTCCGCTGGGTTTACGTGCAGCAGCTGTGTGTGTGTGTGTGTGTGTGTGTGTGTGTGTGTGTGTGTGTGGTTCTGTGCCATCTCAAATATGTAGATTTGTGTCACCACCACTGCGATCAAATCCAGAACATTTTCACCTCAAATTTTCACCTCGCCTGCCACCTCTGTACATCCATGCACTCCCTCTCCATCCATTATTCTTTTTAACAGCAAAGATTTAGGGGAAATTTTTAAGATTGCATTCGCATATGTTATGGTATATATGGTACATGTATGCATACCATATTCCATATGTTGGAATATTTTGCAGCCATTAGGATAAAAAAAATGGTGACATGGTGAATTGCCTGTTTTAATGCTTGTTAACAAGGGCAGAATATAGAACTTATGTATATGCTAAATGTAACTAGAAAAAGAGTGTAAGGGATTCACCAGAATAGGCTTTTGCTCTGAGTGATGGAAGGGGTGTAGGCCTTTCCCTGCTTGCAGCAGTTTTCTGAATTTTTCCATCATTTTACACAATTTCTATTGCTTTTATAATAAGACAGAGCTCTGCCTTCCCTTCCCCTCTTAAAAAAGTAAATGGAAAGCAAAAATAACAGCACTGCATGGCCCTCAGGTTTAGAGCTGGGAATGTGTCAGGTGGCTCAGAGATGCCATGTTTTGCCCACAGACCTGCCAGGTTCCTTATCTCGTGATGATGACTTTCTTTGTTCCTGAATTGTAACCAACGGTTGAAGGCCTTCCTCCCTCCCTCCTGGGCACATTCCTCTCCTTTGGGGAGTGTCACGTGTGATAGGCATCTCCCTCTGAGAAGTTATCTGCCCTTTGTGTGGAGGAATGGCTCTCAGCGTTTTCCCAAACTGCGATTTTAGTCTGAAGGGAGGAATTTTGGCAGCCCCTGCCAAGAACTCCTGTTTCAGATCTTGCCAGGCCTGGGCCTCTTTCCCCATGAGCCACGCACCATTAGCGGCTCCCGAAAGCCCTTTCTAGAATTGTCATTCCAACTGCAGAAAAGCAGATAAGACCGGGGAGTAGATGTCTCCTGGGGAAAACATAATCCTTTATATTTTTCTTTCCACTAAAGGAGCCATAATTCCCACTAAGTTTTAGAAAAGGAGCATGCAGCGTTGTTCTTTACTCTAAAATGAAATATTTTGGTAAATAAAAAAAAACGTCATGAGATGGCTTCATAGGGCTTCTGGAGATGGACACCAGGAACCCTCTTTTCTCTCCCCACAGATTCTGGACGTGGGCTGGCCAGAGCTGCACGCACCGCCCCTGGATAAGGTGTGTACCATCTGCAAGGCGCAGGAGGCCTGGCTGAACAGCGACCCCCAGCACGTGGTCGTCATTCACTGCAGGGTGAGCACCCGCTCGGGGGCCCAGGGGGCCCACCTTTTCACTCTAACTTCCAGCTTCTTTAGGGGTTTGTGGTTAGGTTTTCCTACTTATTCTAAGGGGGGGGGGGAGGGTCATCCAGTCTCCCAGAGTCTGGCTTCAGAATGTATAGGATGGAGGTCCCTGAATGCATAGCTGCACATGGTGAAGCTAAGGTTAGGGACCCCTGGGAGTGAATCCTTTCATTTTCATGCATTTTTGTTTTGTATGGGAAGCGCTTTTTAAAAAGTGAAGGGGGCTATTAAGATGCATGACGTTGGGCTCTGTGCCACCTGAGGTATGCTAGTCGACTAGCTTGGCATTGTGGGCAGGATGCTGCTGCAGCAGGCTTATGGTCCTTTGCAAGCAGGCCAGCCCGAAGGGGACGTGACATGTCTACCCTTGCAGGGTGACTGGGGCTGGCTGTGAGCACAGCAGCGCATCGTCCTGGCTGCGCTGACCTGCTTTGCACCCCTCCCTCCTCCTACCACCTTCCCATCTTCTGGAACCTACCTCTCCTCTTACTTCTCCAGTTTCTCAACTGCCTTGGATTGTTTGCAGCCTTTTCCTGCACTACCCTGGATTCCTCAGATCTGATCCGTTTTCCCAGACACCTGGAGCTCATGCAGCGTGTGGGAGGAATGCTTTGAGAAGGGGGGGGTGGGGAGTGCAGTGGCTGGGTCTCCGTCCCAGAAGAAGGGGGCTGCTCCCTGCCCTGTATATTTTACACCAAATTCTTATGACCATCAGGACGTCTCGAAAAAATAGACATTTCCACCTTAAAGTGTTTCTTCCTTCAGACTTTTCATACTCAAAAGCTGCACAAAACCCCTTTGCGTTAGGGACCTTAGTGTAAAAGAACCTTCCCTTCGAATGATCAGACTTTCTGTGTGAGTTTCCTGCAAGGGCACTGAGATCTGCCTGTAGAATGAGGAGGGTAGACAGTGGCTGACCATGTTCAAAGCTCCCACACTTGGGGCATTTGAGGGTCACTTGGCCCGGAGGAAAAGCCACTGGGTGCACACAGTGCGTTTGCTGCTCTCTGCTTTTATTCCTTATTCTCACATCTAACTTGATTACATTCTCCCTCAGACGGCCAGGGAGTCCCGTTAGTTCTCTTACTAAATTAAGTTAACCAGAGCTTTTATTCAAGGATTGTGTTATATTGAGGAGCTTCTCTCCACGTTTGTGTTTTGGTGAAAACTTAAAGAGACTTAAAAAAACAAACAAACAATTCTTGTCAATTAAAAAACGTGTGTATTTTTCATTGGGCTTGGCTTGGTGATTTTGACACAGGATAATACTGATGGGTCGTTGTTGCCTAAGGTCCCTTCACAGGCCTGTGAAGCAGTGGTCCCTAATCCACCCGGAGCAGCTGCAGTGCCTGACCCTGGGGAGAAATGCCCGCCCAGTGCACCCAGACCTGCTGCCAGCTGTGTCTCCAGAGGATTCTGGTCCCTGGACCTTGAGACGCACCCCCTTCACCATGCATTCCATTTCAGTAGTTCACTTTTTTTTTTTTTTTTTGTGATACGCGGGCCTCTCACTGCTGCGGCCTCTCCCGCCGCGGAGCACAGGCTCCGGACGCGCAGGGTCAGCGGCCACGGCCCACGGGCCCAGCCGCTCAACGGCATGCGGGATCCTCCCGGACCGGGGCACGAATCCGCGTCCCCTGCATCGGCAGGCGGACTCTCAACCACTGCGCCACCAGGGAAGCCCTCAGTTGTTCACTTTTTTAATGAAACAAATTATAATATTATTTACAACATCCGGGCCACAAGTGATGAACTTAGCTCACAGAGTTCTCTAAAACGTGTTCCTCTTCTAAACTACGCTTGCCTCTTGGGAAAAGTCTTGTTGGTGGGATTAAATTGGAACATGTTGAAACTTTTGGGGAACAGTTTGCTCATCTCTTGCCCTAATTCTGGTGGCCTGTGAACCCTTTCCAAGATGAGCTAGAAAACATGCCATGAGAGAGAAACCCTCTTGTGATTTGAACTTACAGATGTTGACGTTAAGGGAAGTTCATCATAGTTGCTGCGGGGGGTGAGATTGCTGACTTTCCCCAAAACCTGCCAGCCCTGCAGAATGTGCTCTTACTGCCAGGAGTGCCAGGAATACCATCTTGGCTTGGGGAGGGCACACTAAGGCCAGACTGTGAGACCCCTGTCTCCCTGCTGGATACAAAAGGTGGTGTTTGTTCCCAAGTCCCCCCTCACGCTAGTTTTGAGTAGAAGTTGCCTGCGGTTCTTCTGGACAGTTTCACCCACCTCCACACGGTTTAGTCTTGAGTTGTTGGTGGAGGGTACTCGCTGGGACTTGTGTAGTCAGCAATTCTGATTTTTGTTAAGAACAGACAAAAGGTGTTCAAGTCCTAAAGAATGTTGTTTGTGCTTGAAGACTTCCTGTCCGTACGTAACGAAAAGCACTGGAGATGGGGGCAGTGAAGCCCCGCCGCGTGCCTGACTTGACGGGGCTGTTGTTCCCTGCAGGTGAATTTATATAAGAAACATACTAGTAGCTGCGCAGTTACAACTGCAGGTGCCAGGGTTCAGCAGTGAAGGACTGATTGTGTGTCTGCACTGAGTTTCTGTAAGGCATGCCCTTGATGAGACAGAGAGGAGAATGCTCCTGGGTGACAGTCACACGCCAGATTTGGACCTGAATTTCCTCCATCGTTCCCTTTCAAGAATAGACGTACGATCTGCACGTTGTTGTCACAGCCACTGTGGCTCATGGGATTCTAGATCAGGGGTTGCTGGCTCTTCTTGAAAGACCCAGACAGGACTTTCAAGGCTTTGGGGCACCACAGTCTACTTCCATCTGCCACTGCCATGTGGAAATAGCCCCTAAACAAACAGGCGTGCTGGGTCCCAGCCAAACTTTATTTATGAACACTGACATTTGAACTTCATATGATTTTCATGTGTCATTGGAATATTATTCTTTTGATTTTTCTTCAACTGTTTAAAAATGTTAAGATGGCTTTTAACTCATAGGGACACAAGTGGTGGGCAGAAGTGGCTGGTGGGCTGTGGTTTGCTGGTCGCCGTTCTGGGTCGTGGCAGCATGTTTCGGAAGGTGGCAGTCCATGGTTCTGGTCGAGGTGGCCTGTCACGGAGCTGCGGTGCTTCCAGACACCTTCTCCTGTTGGCAACGTTGGTCCGAGGCCCTACCGGGCTGCCTTGTCCGGGCTGTGCATGTCTGTGGTTACGGATCGAGTGATGCATTTTCCATAACGATGCCTCAGATGGGGGTCCCCTGTGTGTGACAGGGCAGGGCTGGGTAGGTGGTGACAGTGATGCTGCTGTCCTGCTACTCTGGACTTCTCCGGGCTCTGTGTGCAGTCCTCAAAGCCCTCTCAGCCTGTGAGTGGGGCGTTCGGGTCTCTCTCACCTGGGTGATTAAGTCACGCTAATTGCTTCCGCCCAACACAGTTTTTTCCAGCCTCACTGGGAAATGAGGAACTGACTGGCCGCCTCTGTGCACACCTGCCCTTGGGGGTGTCCTCAGATGTCCCGGATAGCACCTGCTCCTGCCATCAGCACCCCACATGTGTGTTCTCTGCTGAGTTGGGTGCTGCCATCCCCCAGAACAGGGACCAGAGGGGGGGTAACGCTGGCTTCCCCTCCGAGGCTCTTTGCCATCCTGTAAATGAACGAGTGATTTCCTGTTCTAATGACCTCTCTTGTCTCCTGCAGGGCGGAAAGGGACGCATCGGCGTGGTCATATCATCTTACATGCACTTCACCAATGTCTCGGCCAGGTAAGAGGGAAGCGTCCTCATTGCCGTGGGCATCGGGATGCTCTGAGGCTGGGTGGGCGGGGGGTCGGTCAGCCTGGGAGCTGACCTGGAGGCTGAGGCTCGTGTCCCTGGTGCCTAGAAACTCAGCTGCAGCTAAGGGTTTGCACTTGTGAGAAAGACACTGTCGTAGGTGTGCAGTGATTCACACTGAAGACTTCATGGAGGCATCAAAGATAAAGTGAGTGCACTGTCATTCTCTGACAAGAACGATAGGGACAGACATTACCGTTAGCAAAGAAGAGCAGTGCTGTCTCACTGGATGCCTCAAATTCTATACATGGCCGTGGCCACGGCCGCCATGGTTTGCATGCATGGCTGACATGTTTGTATGCAGTGGGCCTCGGGAAAGTACTTTGCATGTTTCCTTTTTGTTGCTTAATCCTCCCAGGTAATCTAGCAGCGAGCAGTCATTGCTCCCACTTCACAGATGAGGAAACTGAGGCTTGGTGGACTTAGGCAGCTTGCTCATGATCTCATGGCCCGTGAGCGGGAAGCCTGGTCTGGCCCGGTTCTCAGGAGGTGCGCCGTGGGCGTGTGGGTGCCGCCAGCAGGAGGCTGGTCCCGTCCACTGGGGACGACAGGCTCCGCGAGGCCAGTGAGTGAGGCAGCGGCCGCGTGCCAGCCCTCCTGGCGCTGGCCGTGCTGGTGGACCCAGATGCCCTTTCCGAGCACACGTCTTCACTCACACTGAGACCCAGTTCAGAAATATCATTCTTTATGGGTTTTGCATCTGCGTTGGCTCTCTCTGTTCAATGGCCACTTTGTGAAGCATGAACCGCTCCATTCTGAGGAAATATAAGCCTATTCATATTAGCCGATAAACCCTTTCCTTTCTAGCGTTAAGGAGTGAAATTTGACTTTCCAAATGTTTTCTCTGGAAACAAACTGGGGAGCCCATTGCCTGCCAGGCAGGAAACCCAACCCCAGAGCAAAAATGAGATCCTTTCTTGGTGATAATAAGTACTTGTGTGTGTGCCAGACAAATTGAGATTCCTGGTCACGTCACATCCCTCTGCTGAGCCAAAGACATTTAAATGGTCAGAGAGCAGATTTCACCTGCTCACAACAGCGCAGCTCTGTCTGGAACCAGAGTTCCATGCGCCATGGGCAGTCCTGGCATCTTTGGAAAGCATGGAGGCTAAGCTTTAGTCACTTAAAGCTTATCAATGACACTCTCTCTAAACGCACCACTTTTTCTGAATAATCGAAGTGTGTCTCAGCTTCACGTGTCAGGCAACTCACATGAAAGGCTCTAAGCCTCAGGGTCCTCACCTGGGAAGCGGGGATGATGGCTGTGCCTCACAGGGTTTTGTGACAATTCAGTGTGTCAGTAAGACAGTAAGACAGTTGGAATAGCATCAGTGCTGGTATTAGCTGCTGTTAATGCTGCTGGTACTAGTAGGAGTAACAGTATGAATAGATGAATTGAACATTATGTATTTTAGCATTTACCAATTCTGCCTATCCAGGTTGTTTGCAGGTTTTCTTTAGAATTTCAGTTGCTTCCATCTAATGATCTTGTACGCTAAAGCATGCCGTGATAACAAATTCTCCTCAATACATCTTTGATCATTTCTACTATTTTCCCCTTAGATACTGTTCTCAGAAGTAATCATAGCGAGTAGACATTTTTAAGGCCTTTGTCACGAACTGTGTCCAGATCAAAACAGACACTTCAAGTCACAAAGTAAAGTAGGAAGAACATTCTGGTACCAGCACCAGAAAGATAAGAGTTCATAAAGATGGAGTTGTTGCTACTATTATGAATACTGATAACAATATTAATGCTGAACATAAACCTTGACCAAAATGCATTATCAGCATTTAATAAAACGAGTGAATTCCAGAAAAAGGAATACTTTCAAATGTATAGGTGAGGGACTTCCCTGGCGGTCCAGTGGTTAAGACTTTGCCATCCAGTGCAGGGGGGTGTGGGTTTGATCCCTGGCCGGGGAGCTAAGATGATCCCACATGCCTCACAGCCAAAGAACCAAAACATAAAACAGAAGCAATATTGTAACAAATTCAATAAAGACTTAAAAAAAATGGTCCACATCAAAAAAAAAAAATGTATAGGTGAATATGTAACTGTACTTTTTACTCTGAAAAACTTATGTGCTCTGTATGTTAAATATTCAGTGCTTAAGTCACCCTTGCTTTTGTGCACCTCTGCCAGCCCAGCCCCTTATTTAGGCAACGTTATTATTTTAGATGGTTATTTAGATAGGACAGCGGGCCTGTGCCCACAGGTGAGAAAAGGCAGGCAGGTGACTCTCCCACCTGCAGGGCATGCTGCACAGAAAGTGCCACATCCTAGGATCGGGTGCTGCTGTTTCAGGGGGGACTCCAGACCTTGCAAGCCTGGCTTCCACTTGGCCCTGAGCGTCTTCCTGGGGGAGATGAGGCCCTAGAAGAGACGCTAAAGTGGATTTTCTCTGGGGAGGGGGTGTAGCAAAATGGAGCTCTTAGTGGGTGCCAGCCACTCAGAACAGCCTCAGGGCCTGTCTCATGTCACTCCCCGCAACCCAGCCTCCTGCGGTAGCCATGGAGTTAAAGCGTGTGCCCTCTCTCTCTCTCTCTCTCTCTCTCTGCTTCCCCAGTGCTGACCAAGCCCTCGACAGATTTGCAATGAAGAAATTTTATGATGATAAACTTTCAGCTTTAATGCAGCCGTCCCAGAAACGGTATGTATCTGTCCCAGAGCCAGAGTGAAAAAGTGAATGAGATTTTACGTTTAAAAGCGTGTGTGTGGGGCTTCCCTGGTGGCGCAGTGGTTGAGAGTCCGCCTGCCGATGCAGGGGATACGGGTTCGTGCCCCGGTCTGGGAAGATCCCACATGCCGTGGAGCGGCTGGGGCCGTGAGCCATGGCCGCTGAGCCTGCTCGTCCGGAGCCTGTGCTCCACAATGGGAGAGGCCACAACAGTGAGAGGCCCACATACCGCAAAAAAAAAAAAAAAAAAAAAAAAAGCGTGTGTGTGGGGATGGGATGAATTGGGAGATTGGGACTGACATAAATACACTACCATGTGTAAAACAGATAGCTAGTGGGAACCTGCTGTATAGCGCCGGGAGCTCAGCTGGGTGCTCTGTGGTGACCTGGATGGGTGGGATCGGGGGGCAGGTCCAAGAGGGAGGGGATATATGTATACATGTAGCTGATTCACTTCGTTGTACAGTGAAACCAACACAACAGAAACCAACACAACATTGTAAAGCAATTGTATTCCAATTAAAAAAAAAAAAAATGTAGGGACGGAAGACGCACCTCTCCTGACCAGCCAAGATTAGGAGGGAAGGAATTCTCGGTGTCCAGCGGTGAAAGATGAGCCACCCTGCGTGTGGGTGCCGGGGGGCCCCTGGCTGGCTCCGGCGTGGACACAGGGCTCCCTCCCCGCACGCTTAGCCATCGGGTCTTCCGAGCTCTCTGCTGGTGTTGGTGCCATTTCTGTACTGGGACTGGCTGCTGTCTCCTGGACCAGGGGTCTGTGAACTGTGTCTGAATGGCGGATGCTCTGGGTTTTGCAGGTCACGTGGTCTCTGTCATGGCCACTCTAACAGAGGGTCTGTGGGCAGCAGGAAGCAGGTGAAAGCAGCTTATGTCCAATAAAGCTGTCGACACACACAGGTTTGTTGTTGGCCAGCTTCAAAGGCCCAGGAGTCTTCTCTCTCCTCGGCCTCCCCTGGCCCACCTCCCCTTCTCTCCTGCTCGGCGTGGCCCCTGGCAGATGCTGCAGAGGGACCCTGGGGAGCAGACTTCCTCTTGCCGCCTGCTCCCAGGCGAATCCACGCTGTCACCAGGCCCAGGTGGAGAAGAACCAGAGGAGGGTCAGGTGTGTGGCCTGAGAAGAGCCAGCAGCCACTTGCCTTCCAGACCCACTTCCTCTGCAGATGGGGGCATGGAACCAAGAACACTGCATTTTTTTTTTTTTTTTTTTTTTTTTTCGGTACGCGGGCCCCTC